ACAGCTCATCACCCTGAACACACCATCCCCACTGTCAAACATGGTGGTGGCAGCATCCTGGTTTGGGCCTGCTTTTCTTCAGCAGGGACAGGGAAGATGGTTAAAATTGATGGGAAGATGGCTGGAGCCAAATACAGGACCATTCTGGAAGGAAACCTGATGGAGTCTGCAAACGACCTGAGACTGGGACGGAGATTTGTCTTCCACCAAGACACTGATCCAAAACATAAAGCAAAATCTACAATGGAATGGTTCAAAACTAAACATATCCAGGTGTTAGAATGGCCAAGTCAAAGTCCAGACCTGAATCCACTCGAGAATCTGTGGAAAGAACTGAAAACTGCTGTTCACAAACGCTCTCTATCCAACCTCACTGAGCTCGAGCTGTTTTGCAAGGAGGAATGGGCAAAATTTAAGTCTCTTGATGTGCAAAACTGATAGAGACATACCCCAAGTGACTTACAGCTGTAATCGCAGCAAAAGGTGGCGCTACAAAGTATTAACTTAAGGGGGCTGAATAATTTTGCACGGCCAATTTTTCAGTTTTTTATTTGTTAAAAAAGTTTGAAATATCCAATAAATTTCGTTCCACTTCATGATTGTGTCCCACTTGTTGTTGATTCTTCACAAAAAATTACAGTTTTATAGCTTTATGTTTGAAGCCTGAAATGTGGCAAAAGGTCGCAAAGTTCAAGGGGGCCGAATACTTTCGCAAGGCTCTGTATAAAGCTGCAGTGGCCAGGTAGCTCAGGTTAGGATAAAGACTGCAGAGGAAAACAGCTGGCTCTGCCCAAAGGTAACAGAATCTGCTAACCAGCACCTGTAAAGTTCACGTGTGAGTTGTACCTTTAAAACCCATCCATCCTTCCATTATCTATACCGCTTATTCCTGAATAGGGCTGTGGGGGGCTGGAGCCAATCCCAGCTGACATTAGGCATTAGCTCCCAAACTGAGAGTTCAGATCAGTGTGCAGAGTCGTTTTTCAGTCTGTCGCTGTCATCGACAGGATCTCTCAGCCTGCTCCAAGTTAGCCAGAGTCAGCTAAGGTTATCCATCCTGAATTACTGCAGTCAGTAAAGTGGAGAGTTGGAGAAGAATAACTGTTCATTTAAATCTTTTAAAAGAATATTTTTCTCTGTGATTAACTCATAAAACCAGTTGTCCATGTCTACAAGGCAGAAGCATTTCTTCCTTCAGACAACATTGGCACTTGTCTTCTTCCTACTTCCTAATGTTTTAAAGACAATTGGGATTTCTTTTGCACTCATACACTTTCCACTCAGTACCTTTAATTTTCAGTCAATTTTGTTTGATAGTTTGTGATAACAGCAGCCTGGCATCTGCAAATTCTTCAGCCATGCACACACACTGATCAGCCACACACAGTTATCTTGTTGGAACTGTAAGTGTATCAGTATTAAAATTCCCCAGAGCTCAGTGTTGATGGCAGAGTGCCAAAAAGAAGACAGCACCTGTGGCGTGGGAGTGCAGGGAGGCAGGCAAGAGAACTGGGAGAAGGCATAATCACCATGGTCACTGAGCTAACGAACCACAGGAGCAACAATAACAACAGGAGAGAAGGAAGAGGATGCCTACTCTACATCTTTGTACACCATTAATGCAATTTATAAATCCTCCTCACAATCTAGTAGGTCAAAACCTGCATATACATAAGAGAATTATCAAATCTAAAAATATCATCTTCCATTTTTGGACATGTGGCATTGTGTCAGAAACTAAACCATTGAAACAAAAGCCACTTTTTAAAAGTGTTCAAAAAGAAGGTGCCAGTTTATTTAATTTTGTTGATTACCATTTCAGTTCAGGTCCTCTTTCTGTGAGATGAGATGTCTTCCTAGAAGTGGGGGAAATTGTGGAGTTAATAGAAATTGTTGATTGAAGATTATTAAGTTTATTTCATTTGGAGCTCAGTTGACCTGATGAGGGACCAACATATCACAGCATGAGTGTACAATTAGGCTTTGTCCCAGACTCTTAATGTTTTTATTGGGTTTAGTTTTAAATGCTTAATTCCTGTCTGGAAACGGATTCCATTGCTGAAGATGATGATGCAACATTTCGATGTGTGAATATAACATTATAATTTCATCCTGCCTGCTAATCGGCCATACTGCTGCTGTTGTAGGATTTATTGGGGCTGTCAAACTTTATTTCACTTCCTGGACCTCTTTCTCTCTTTATGTCTTTCACCCTGACATTTATTTCTGCAGGGAGGCTTCTGTGGCTCCACATTCACTTGTCAGAATCAACCTCTCTGATATTTACTCTCCTGTGAAACCTTCAGTGTCAGCTGCTGAGGGGTTCCCCACCTGAGCAGAGCCAAATTGACACAGAGTGGCTCTTGTTCACTTTCTAAGTTTGCTGATCATCCCATTGTGGTCACAGTCTGGTTTTCAGACACTGTTAAACAGCACCACCTACTCATAGAGCGTGTTCACAGAGAAGCTAGAGGGACACCACCCACACTGCTGTGTCTTTAGTCTGACTGCCCTGTTCTAGTTTTTCTCAACTGACTTTAGTCTGCACCCATGCTTCCTTACATACATCTCACCTCACTAACATTCATTTCATCGGTTTCATCTTTATCATCAGTAGAATTGTATTCCCATCATCCGCTGTCTGGAGTTTGTCTAAGTGTGTGTATTATGTAGAGTATGTACATCAGCCACTGCTTCCTAATATTGATTTGGAGTCCTGTTACCTACTGTAATGCACATCTCCACATACAGTATTTATTTCAAATCTTAACAGTTATTTTCAAACACTATAACAGTTTTTACCTTTGCAGTTTACGGTAAGTGACAGTATTTCTGATGGATTCCTGGACATGTGTTTTTATTAGAGAGCTCTCAGCGAGGATATGTTTTATGAGCATACTGTGGGATTAGGGAACAAAGGAGATAATCAGACAGAGAGGCTCAGATGGTCACAGCATAATTACACATGCATGAATCCCAGATAATCCGTGAAAATGTACTTTTTACTAGGGGTCGGCTAACCTTGAGCGTATCTCTTCCCTTCCGAGGAGCTTCACCCCTCCCTTCTTTCCCCTTGTTGAAATCAATAATGGCAGGACAAGAAGCACAGTTATATTTAACAGCAAACTTATCTTTGTACTGGTTGATCTTATCCACCAAAGAGGGGGGGAGGGATTTATATGAATAACAACAGGGGAGGGAGATATGGAAACTACACCCACGGTCCCAGTGCTGAAGGTGTCTCTGCTCCAATCCTGGCTGACTCACTGTCTGTCTCACTAGGCTACAAAAGCTCATGTGCTAGGCCCCGATCAAATGAATTCAAATGCTTGCATTTGCCTGGGTTGCTCCTGTATCTCATTAGTTGGTATATTGCACTCAGTGACCTTGAGAATTGTTTAAAATTCATAGGAACAGACCAGGATTTCAGAATGCGTTTTGCTTGTTTGATCTCTGCTGTTAAAGTGCCTTCTGCAGACAGTTTAATCCTGAAAGGGGACAAATGGGGTATACCTATAACGCTCTAATATTTGCAGGTGTGCGGCTGCTGCTCTGAACAGAAAGTGAATCAGATCTATGTAAAACAAGAACACAGAGGTCAGATATAGCAGATGTATAAGAAAAGGCACACATGTGAGGTAAGCCTCATGCCTTTTAAAGACAGCAGGAGGACATGAGAGAAGCAAAGCATGTCTCTAGCAATGATAGCCCTTATCACATTTCTCTCAAGACCCTCTGCACAGCTTAACATGAATTCATTTTCTTTTCAATGACCTCACTGTGGGGACAAGCCAGGAAAAGTCACGCATCTACATTTCTGTGCAAATGTGGTTAAATAAGTCATAAGATGTAATATTTCACTTTAAAAAGCCAAGCCCTGGGCTAAAGGACAATGTAAGATCTCTTATTTGTAACATAGACACTTTGGTGAATACTGTTTAGGAGAGAGAAATTGTACATTCAGTCACTTATGGATCAGATATTTCTAGAGCAACCATCTCCAGTGACTGTTCTGCAGTTTCACTCACACTGTGAAAGAAAATCACATTTTTCATGCTGGGAAATGTGCGTAGTTTAGTTTGGAACTATTTTACTTTGTTAATATTGAGTTAGTCAACAAACTTTGTCTAGTTGGACTGTTCATTTTTATTGTGTGTTAAAATGGTTTGGCTGGCCACGTGATCCCCCTGTGTGCACATCGATCAGTCTGTTTAAGTCCAGGGAATGGTCCTTAGAGCTTCAGTTCCTTTGTTGCACATGTTGTTTGCAAAAAAAACAAGACTGAATTTACATCCAAGTTCAGTCTTATTTCATACAGTTGTAGTATTGTATCACTGAACATTTATACGTAGAGCAAATTGTGCTGAAAAGGCCAAAAAGTTCAGTTTGGATGAGATTCTGGATGGAGAGGTGTGGACAATGCAGGAAACTGGAGGCAGGTGAAGGTCATAGTTAGTCACGTGTGTCTCAGCCTTGTGTGTGATAGTATGTTAGTGTTTACAGTTTGTTTCTGCTAACCCCCAAGTGGCCAAGAATACGCTAGTGCAGGCTGAAAGGACCAAAAACACGTTTTCAGATCTGTATACTTTTATTCAGACTATTCAACACATTCCAACACCATACAGATCTTTAATTTTTACAAACATTAGAATATACTCTGTGCACTATAATGAAAACACTACTGAATCTATCTCATTATCACAATCCTCACATGTCAGAACAGAGTTAAATTATATTTGTTGCTAGGGTTCAACTATTAACCCTGGGCTATTCAGTTATCAGATTAAAAGGAAATAGAAGGAAAGTTTGGAGGCATAGGATGTACAGTGCTAATTCATTTATCACTTTAAATATTAAACTTTTAGAAACATTAAACAATTTAGAGGTTGTAGTGTGTTTCATATTTACATCATGCCAAGTGTTTAGGCCACTAAACTGTGCCTTAAAGAAAAGATCTCAGGTTACATTAAAAATGAAATGCCCAAACTGAAGAGTGCTTCTATTTACATTAAATACACTTTTGATATTTAAAAAAAAAAAATCTGTGCGGACACTACATGCTTTTGCTGGTGAAGATTTGTGAGTGTGATGTTACAGTGCGTTCTCAGACGGAGATGCATTGAATGATAGAAAGATCTACTATATACAACAATTAATAACGTATGATGGAATGATTCAAATGGTTTTTGACTAGGAAGGATTTCAGTGGACTACGTGTACACACCTACTGTAAATGTGCTTTATACAAGGTCTTAAGAGATATAACATGATAAAATTCCACACAGACATCAAGTAATCCATCAGCAGGACTTCAGTCTCTCGTCAATAACAGTTTCCATGCTGAGCAAAATAAAAATAAACTGAAACCTCAGTGTTTCAGTGACAAAAAAATATCACTGCGAATAATAAAGTGCTGCTAAACAGATGACTTTACTCAAACAATGCAACACAAGAGAAGAAAGGTTGAACAAGTGATACAGCAATGGTAAAAGGTGACTTGTACAGCAGAAGTTAGCCCGACTGGAGTTTTCTTTTCACCAGCTACCATACAGAACACTACACAGCCAAAAGAGAGTGAAAGCTACAAATACTGCAGAATTCAGTGCACAAGATGACAAGATGAGCCTTTTACAATAACAGCGCCAACCCCACTGGACTTTATGGAGTGCAAGATAGGTTTGACCCAACACAAGACACTTTCAGGAAAATGAAAACTGTCCAGGCTGACTTTCATTTTGGTCCCCGTTTTCTCTTGCATTTTCAGAAGCTTTGTAGCTGTCACAGAAGAGTGGCATGCATCACCTGTTTGTGTGAACAGCTCCAGACAGCTCTCAAACTGATCTACAGGTAAGCTCAACTGTGAAATACTAATAATGAAGACTGTCCACTGACAGAAGCTTTCAGTCTGGATCAGGCCGGCTGACCTGCACAGCAGATTTGTGATTTTGTGGATACTGAATGTAAGTGTGTACTTATCTGAAGTTATGGGAAAAAGAAGGGACATTTTTTTTCAATTCAAAGTCGCTCCCAGGTTCAGTGCTCTGGTACTAATCTGTGCAGACAGTGTTCCTCTTGCACAGACCAACGTTGATTTCAGCTGTGGTGCTGCTAAAACGGAACGGTGTTAAAATACATGAACGGTGAGTGAAATTCTTGGTATATTATTAGGAAACAGTTTTATGTTCATGGAGGGAAAGAAATCATTACATTTTCAGTGAAACATTTCATTTCTAACAATTAAGAATAAAATGTTATCCAGCAGGAGTAAATACATAAAAACCATGTAAAATAAGTGGCAAGTTAGTCTAATAAATCCTTAAAAGAAAAACACCAACTACCACATTGAGTGTACTCACTAATTTAAAACAGTACAAATAACTTAATCCTTAAGAAGGGAGCTTTGTAAGGCCAGCGCCCCATCTGGTGGAGAGAGACTGTGCGGCACCTACAGCGTGAGAGTCAGCATTACAGTATGATTGATAAAAAGTATTTGTACAGTGAACTGATCTCCAGGTGTACAGCGTTCTTTCACCAAATAACTGTAACAGGTAACAGAGCATAAGCACATCAGTAATATAGTCAGTAACAAAGGTAGTAAAAAAAGTTGACTGTTGTAAAGACATCTTAAAAATATTAAATATTTTCCCCATCTATTCCTCTCTCCACATGCGTCAGGCGACATAGTGCCCATCAAGGTTTTGCTTTTTTTTTGTTGTTTGGTTGGAAAATCACACAGGGCTGTTCTGTGTTTGGTAATGACGCCCGAAATGTGGTGACAGTGAGAAAATTATTCTACCAAAGTGTCGACTTCTAGTTAGTAGACCCTTCTCACTCCTCCTCGGTCTGAGAAAGAGTTTGTTAGGAAGTGAAAAACAGCCACTTAGAGCTGAGAATCGGCTCCCAGGCTGTTGAGCTCATCTGGAGAGGGCTTTTCTCTTCCGGCGGCAGCCGTCTGGTTGAAGCCAGCTGTGATATCGTCAAACGTCCGGCCCCTGGTCTCCGGCACTTTGAAGTAGGTGAAGATGAAGAAAAAGAGCAGTAGCACGGTGAAGATGATAAAGACATAAGGGCCACACAGCGCCTGTGAAGAGAGGCAAGAGGAGAGAAAATTATTTAGTCAGGTCCTAACAGGGTTCAGTCCAAAATAGTCTGAAACTATAACACAAGGATCACAACGGCCTGTTGCGCTTATTGGCATAGCCTACATTGTTGGATTCGAACATGTCACTACAGTTTAAACTGTTATGTTTTACCACATTCGAACCTCGAATAAAAAGTGACAGCCCTAGTACCAAACTGAGTTGTTCTTTTCAGGAAACGTCCAGAAATTCACACCCACAAAACACTTTACTGACAAACACTAGGTCCAAATGTGTTCTCATTTTTTCTACTCGCCTCTACGTATTGGAAGCCAAATCCCACTATGAAGTTGGCAGTCCAGTTGGAGAGACCAGCAATAGCCATGGCTGCAGGCCTGGGTCCCTGCGAGAACAACTCCGCCACGATGAACCAGGGGATGGGACCCGGTCCAATCTCAAAGAACGCCACAAAGGCAAAAATGGCTATGATGCTCACGTATGACATCCAATGGTGTTTTTCCTGCAAGAACAGAAAACAAGAAAAAAAAAGATTGTCATTATTTTTTCAATAATCACCAGTTGTCATTTGATTTAGAAGCTGGTGTTTGCTGAGGAGAAACCTACCAGCAGAGCCAAGGCAATAGTCATCAGGACAGCAGATCCAGCCATTCCCAGCAGCCCCAGCATGTGCAGAGACCGACGTCCTGCACGTTCAACGACAAACAGCTACACACACACACACACAAAACAAACACAATGAGAGGAAAAGGGTCAGTTTAGTGCAACAAAATAATAAACCCATACTGAGTTCAATTAACTTTTATTATTTACTGTTCTAATAATCTATCTGGGGTAAAAATGAGGGAGGAGAGAGATCCACACACTGACTCCAAACAGATTTCAGAAATGTGCTATGCAACAGCACAAACATAATCAGTTTACTACCTCATGTGCCAAAAAAATAATCATAAACAACTGAATATTTTCTGGGTTAAATATCCAAATAACATGATGCTTCTGACATTTCTTTCTGCGTTGTACTTTCACTTAGAGACTTAAAACTTTATTCAGTCCTCACCGACACCACAGTGAACGCCGTGTTAACCACACCGGCTCCGATGGTGGCGTAGACAGGCTGCTGAACTCCAGCTTTCTCGAAGATCCTGGTAGAGTAGTAGAATACCTAAAAAGTACAGCAACCACGATGAGTTTTTAACACAGCTGACATGTAGGCACAGTTAGGATATACAGTGGTGTGAAAAAGTGTTTGCCCCCTTACTGATTTCTTATCTTTTTGCATGTTTGTCACACTGTAATGTTTCAGATCGTCAAACAAATTTATATATTAGTCAAAGATAACACAAGTAAACACATCATGCAGTTTTTAAATGAAGGTTTTTATTATTAAGGGAAAACAAAATCCAAAACTATAGAGCCCTGTGTGAACAAGTGTTTGCCCCCCTGTCAAAACACTGGTTTATCGCACCTGAGTTCAATTTCTCTTGCCACACCTGTTCGCAATCAAGAAATCACTTAAATAGGACCTGCCTGACAAAGTGAAGTAGACCAAAAGATCCTCAAAAGCTAGACATCATGCCGAGATCCAAAGAAATTCAAAAACAAATGAGAAAGAGAATAATGGAGCTCTATCAGTCCGGAAAAGGTTATAAAGCCATTTCTAAAGCTTGGGGACTGCAGGTCTTCCAGGGCCTGAAGCAGCAAAACAGCCCCAGACCATCCCACTACCACCACCATATTTTACTGTTGGTATGATGTTCTTTTTCTGAAATGCGGTGTTACTTTTACGCCACACATAATGGGACACACACCTTCCAAAAAGTTCAACTTTTGTCTCGTCTGTCCACAGAGTATTATCCCAAAAGTCTTGGGGATCATCAAGATGTTTTCTGGCAAAACTGAGACGAGCCTTTATGTTCTTTTTGCTCAGCAGTGGTTTTCGTCTTGGAACTCTGCCATGCAAACCATTTTTGCCCAGTCTCTTTCTTATGGTGGAGTCATGAACACTCAGCTTAACTGAGGCAAGTGAGGCCTGCAGTTCTTTGGATGTTGTTGTGGGGTCTTTTGTGACCTCTTGGATGAGTTGTCGCTGCGCTCTTGGGGTAATTTTGGTCGGCTGGCCACTCCTGGGAAGGTTCTCCACTGTTCCATGTTTTCGCCATTTGTGGATAATGGCTCTCACTGTGGTTCGCTGCAGTCCCCAAGCTTTAGAAATGGCTTTATAACCTTTTCCGGACTGATAGAGCTCCATTATTCTCTTTCTCATTTGTTTTTGAATTTCTTTGGATCTCGGCATGATGTCTAGCTTTTGAGGATCTTTTGGTCTACTTCACTTTGTCAGGCAGGTCCTATTTAAGTGATTTCTTGATTGCGAACAGGTGTGGCAAGAGAAATTGAACTCAGGTGCGATAAACCAGTGTTTTGACAGGGGGGCAAACACTTGTTCACACAGGGCTCTATAGTTTTGGATTTTGTTTTCCCTTAATAATAAAAACCTTCATTTAAAAACTGCATGATGTGTTTACTTGTGTTATCTTTGACTAATATATAAATTTGTTTGACGATCTGAAACATTACAGTGTGACAAACATGCAAAAAGATAAGAAATCAGTAAGGGGGCAAACACTTTTTCACACCACTGTAGCCTTATATTTCTAATGTAGCTTCAGTATGAAACAGCATGTGAATGTGTATCAGACGTGTCAGAGAAAAGTGAAGTTTCCCTTTGGTGTCCTAAGAATCTCAATGCTGTAGTGTGTGGGTCTGGAAACTCACAGCGTTGATGCCAGACAGCTGCTGGGATAGCTGCAGCATGACAGCGATGAGGAGGGGTTGGCGGTAGAGAGGCGAGCGGAAAAGCTCCAGAATGGTCGCCTTCTTCTCCCTCTTCATCTGCCGGCTCTCTTCCTTCATCTCCTGCATGTCAGCACCCACGTCCGTAGTGCCCCGGAGCTTCTTCAGCACTGAAACATGCAGATAAAAAGTGGACCGTTGACACTACAAACTGATCTAGTACTTTTCTCAAGGTCAACTCTCTTTTCTTCTGTAATTCCATATCCTTTTGATTACATCCTTGAACATTTTAGAGGCCAGCCTGAATCTGTGGTAACATAAAACTTCAGTTCTTTTGAATTTTATGACACTTCACAGCCCTGTCTGTCAAAACAGAGGAGTACTAGACTGAAATATAGTTAAAATAAAATCACAGAATGTAACTAATAATATCCACTTCAGGTTGTGTTTAAACTCACCACTCTTGGCCTTGTTCTCTTCGCCCTTGTTCATGAGCAGGAAACGGGGGCTCTCGGGACAGAGAGGCAGCAGGATACACTGTATCACAGCAGGGATGAAGGTAAAGCCTAACAGGAGCGGCCACAGATCCTTGTTGCCCATGATTGACTCTATTCCAAACACCTAAAAAAAAACAATATCACACGTGAACCACCTGCGCCGCTGCTAGAATGCATTTGTAACAATAACAGTGCATTCAGTTTCTCATAGGAAAGTCACTTAACTTCATTATCTATGTACTAAAAAGGTGCAGTGTGTGAGGCTTGGTGACATCTAGCAGTGAAGCTGCAGATTGCAATGTTCAGCAAAGCTCTCATACATTGTGTTAAACAGCCCTCAGAGCTGTTTCAGAGCAATTAACGTAAATGGAAGACAAATTGCACATTCGAATAACAAGTGCTGCTGACTCGGCCAAGCAAAAATCAACAGTGGCTCACTTGACTGCAGCAGGATACCCAGCACTGTCCATGTTCTAGCTAAAGCTGTCAAAGAAAAACTCGTATTTAGGTTAACTTTAGGTTTACTTGTTAGGCTAAGCTACCTGTCCAGCAGAAAACAGGAAACTTTGGCATCATTCTGGAAGCATTTGTCCCTCATTAAGGATTTCCAACTTGGAAAGGCCACACCTCATCTTTTTCCTTCTAGATCTTACACTCTTGCACCTTTAAAATTAATCTACTGGATCAACTTCTGTCCACTGACTTGTGCAATGAGGATGCCAATGACGATGCCCAGCTGGTGGAGGGTGCCCAGGGCTCCTCGTAGCGATGTTGGGGAAACCTCACCTACATACATGGGTACAAAGCCCGTGGAGAGGCCAGAGTAGAGGCCAACCACAAAGCGACCAATGATCAGCATTTCCCAGGAGCTCGCATGCTTTGAAAAGCCCATGAGAGCGGCTGCGATGAAGGCCAGGACATTACACATGAGCATAGAGTTCCTCCTGTAGAAGTCAAAGAACAAGTTACAGTCACATTTAGCAAACTCAATTCAGGGAGGCTGTGAGCAAAACTTATGTTTATAAATTTGCAGTGTGACAGTTAATGTGTTCTTATGGCACAACATAAATTTCAGGTTTTAACTTTAACTCTCTTGGTTCATGTACAGCTCTGGTAATATTACTCATTTATCTGTGATATCTCTTTACTTTAGTCTGTTTCTTGTGATTATAATGAACATTAATGTGTTATTTGTGTGCTTTATGTGCTTTAAGTGGACCCCAGAAGGAACGTGGGTTCAAATCAATATAATATTTTAAGACTAACTTTTCTCTGGATACATTTTCTGAGTTAGTAAATTATACATGCAGTCACTCCTCTACTGCAGTATTAATTGCTTCCAGTCTGGATATTGTGCATAACAAAATTAATTATTTGCATTTTTCTACAGAAAATCAAGTTATAAGGTGCTCAAGACCAAAAACAAAACATATGAAAAACCTGCAAGACCCCACTTTAATACCAGCAAGGATTCTATACTTTACACTTTACCTTCCAAAGCGGTTGACAAAGAGTCCAACAGAGAAGGAGCCAATGATGCCACCAATAGAGAAGATGGCCACAGCGACAGACCAGATAGCTGTGAGGGAGATTTCGGGGATGGGCTCCTCGTAGCGACCCACCCATGTCTCATTGATGAAGTTCTCAATGATCTGAATTGGGGGGAGAAGAATTTAAACATTTTTTTTTGTACAAATTAACAGAAGATTTGTCAGAAACACAACAAAACTTAAAGAATCACCATTAAAAATGTGGCATAATGCCACATTTTTAATGTCAGAACAGTTACATAAAGTCTTATGAATCATATCATGTGCTCCATCTTCTCTTCATCTTCTCTTGCTCAGGTTCATACACAGTGCAAGCTGAGATGTTACTGTGTGGCCAGCTGATGGCAGCACTGTATGATCATCATCATTTCCCGGCAACCAGGAAGTTTACCAGCCATGGTTATGTGTAATGTTTCAGTTCCCCCCCCCCCGCCCCTTCTCGGTCGTCACGCAGGCAGCTGAGTTGAAAAAACACACCTAGAAAAACCGTTGACGGGACTTATGAAGCAGATCCAGCTTCTGTTTATACGTGTTGTCTCACAATCACACCTTTCACATGATCCTTAAATCCAGCCACCCGGGGTGAGGACCTCCCGTGACTCTGTGACTTTACCAATATATCTCTGATCCTCCTCTTCCACTACTGTTGTGACCACATGTTCGGTCTGGCTCTGTCATGTGCCTCTGTGATAGTGTAACATTACCTATATTTAGTCTGAAACACTCAGCACACCTAGTGTCAGAGCTCCTAATGCACCGGGGCTCAGTGATGTCATGTGGGATAAATACTCTGCAGTCTCCTTATGAACCAGTCATGATAGTAAGGTCACGGGTTTCCCTGGGGTGGAGGGAAACATATAGAGTGACACTGATGCACTTAACATAGAGCCTGGGTTACAGCCACGATCAGCTTTCATTCACTCACAAGACCTGGATTAATGATATAAACACGTGTCATTATATACTGCACTGTACCCCTGACTTCTCTCCTGTCGCATTTACCCTTTAAAGCCTGCTTTATTTAGACTGCCTCTAAAAAGGGTTTTCAAAAGGAAGGCTGCTAAAGAGATTAAATAAAGCCATCCTTCACTACCTCTTGTAAGTTTTGTTACAACACTGAGTACATTTAATGTAGATTTTGACTCTGGCCAAATTTTAAGTGAACTTTCCATCTACTTGCATTGTGTGAATATCGATGCCACCTTTCTCCAGCCAGGTGCCGTTAAAACCACTGCACAAGAAGAGGACACAACAAGATGGCCTGTCAAACCTCAAACAAACAGAAGCAATGAAAGAAATCGGACTTTTATGTTTGTTTAATGTGCGTCCTCATCATCACTGCACACACCTGATGTTTTCATCTCTTCTGTGGAAGCTTCTTGGACACGCCGCATGAACGTCATGATTTATTCAGCAGATTTGTTTCCATTGCACTCAGTCACATGATAATGATACACCAACATTCCCACCTCAGCCTAGCATAGCTACTTCTTTGTGATTTTGACTTCTTTTTCAACTCTCTAGCATTTCACTCAATATATATATATTTCTTTTCTGTTAATCACTGTCAAAAACACATTAATTGCTATCTGATTAAATAAAACATGAACAAGTGGATGGATATGTTTGATAGGCACTAGATATCTTTGTCCCAGACATATGAATTGCTGCCTACTTCGCAAATAGGAAATAAATAAGTGAAACAAAATGGCAATTTAGTCAGTTAATAAGCTGCAGTAACAAAGTGACACCTTCACCAATTGTGATTGGGAGATAAGGAATTGGATGGTTGATCTCGAAAAGTTCCATAATTACTCTGTGTTCTCTCCTCGGTCTAATCTGAATAGGCCGTGCAGTCCAAACCGCCAGGTGGTCACAGCCACACAATGAAACAAGCTGCCTATTCATGCAGAGAAACTGCCACCGTACGCTGCTGGCTGGGTTGTCAAGGTGAGCGCCGCATTCAGCACACACAGGCTGAAAATAAAAGAATCCATCTTTCTTTCTTACATAATTATCTTTAAACAAGTGGCAACAAATTGTGCTCAATTTTACTCAAGGAAACTCAGGAAAGTGTACAAGCCTTAACCCTTAGCACCAAATACACTCCCAGAAATAAACTAACAAAACACAGACAACCCCCTTGAGTACATGACTTTCCAAATAAGGTTACTGTGTGAAGTGTCAAACAGGGAGACATGAAGAAGAACAGCACAGTGAATGAGAGCAAAGCCCTTGAAAGAGCATATCTAATCAGAGAGCCAGTGCAAGGCCTGCGTCACAGGCAGCAGCAGCATCACTGCGGCCTTTATCACACACTGGGGCACACAGGGATGAAGTGCAGGAGATAATCTCAAGTGTTGTTGCTATACAAAAGGTTGCATTGGTAAAATTAAGACCCTTAAATAGCCATTAACTAATAAAGGATTAAGAGCCTATAGTTGAGTAACTGTTTCTGCACATTCGTTGTAGAATGTTTTGCATGTGATGCTGCTTAGACCTGAGGGTGTGTGTGAGGGGTAAGCTGGGTATTGGGAAGGGGGAAAAGAGCCAAGAGAGCAGGTTGACACTAGTCTAGTGTGTAACAGACCACATGTTCACCGCCACTCACGAGGCTCTCGCTGGCTCCTGAGCTGAGCATGTGTTGTTTTCACAGAGGAGAAAAACCTTCGCTGCATCATCAGCTGTTCCATTAGTTTTTGTTCCCCATTAGTTTTCTGACATTTTATAGTGTAGAAAATAATTCATAGCTCAACAAACAGCAAGAGTCTTTTATATCCGGCTTACAAGACATTTAAAAAAGCCTTTCTGGGTGTTTTGCTCAAGGATTAAAATTCCCTCTTTAGCATGTGCTGCCCACTTTATCTCCTCTTAATGACTCAATAAGAAATGAAAAAGACTCTCTCTTCTGTCTATTTCATGTCTGTTTCAACTTTTCTGACTGTGTACAAAGGAGCAGGTGGAGCTCGGCCCCGTCTGGGGCAACACGTGTCACCTGTGGAGAGACAGCCACAGGGTGTGTTCAGACCAATGCAAACTAGGAAGCGAGCAGATATTTACAGGCAACAGCATAAAGAAATTCTCCAGGAAATGAATTTCTTTAGTGTACCTGTCTGATAATAAAGCCTACTGTGGCTTTACTGTCCAGAGGACTAAAAACATATTTCCTATTCCATTGATTTGTTATGGGGATAGGTGACTGTCTACCTCCTACAGTATATTTAATCTCCTGTTTTCTCAGCCTGTTTGCTGGTCAGCAAGAGGTCCATTTTTGGGCATGGACAGACACTTTCTCACAGGAATTGCCAGAGTCTATTAGGACAGATGTCCATGGCCCCAACGCTAGTACTATTATTTCGCCCTCTGACCTCGCCTCCCTCCCTTTCTCTCATATTCTCCAAGAACCAAGTGAGTGAACAACCAGCACTGGGACTAGGTTGGCAGGGAGAACCATGATATTTACTGTGTCAGTGACAGTACACATACACTGCAAATCTTGGTTGGCTAAAACAAGCTTTTGAAGCCATTGAAGATCCAGTTTAAACAACATACAGTATATGCAGGCGTCTAACTCACCTTCTGAGGGGCATTGATGACACCTGTGTTGTAGCCAAACTGCAGGGAGCCGATCACAGCTGTTCCAACACTCATCAACAGGGGGAACGTTAATTGCTGCAAGAAAGTAGAGGAAGAGCTGTCAGTGAAAAGACCAGTTAGTCAACATTTTTACCTGGTGGACAATAGATGTATTTGTCCAGGATGAGTGGAAACAACATGTTTCAAAGCTCGTCTTTGCAGCTGAACAAAAGGTTTTAGTTGACTTGAAACTCACATATGAGTTTACTAAAGGAAATATTAGTTTAATAAAAGAAAAATAAAGTGCACGTGGTTTTGCTGAAGACAACATCTCCTATGTCGCTGTATCGCTGTCTGTGACGTCTTTAGCTGCTCTGGAAAAACAAACCTCACCATGTGTTCATAACCCGTATAATGAACGCGCTGTTAAAAATAATCCTGAAATGTCTTCAATGTCTTGGTATCAGGCCACATTTTCCAGCATGGTGAAACTGGTCTAGTGACAGCTAAAGAGATTAGCTCAAGTTGAGGAGAGATCAGATGGAGACATGTATCTCAGCCAGCCAACACTCAGACAGACACCTGTTCTAAGATGAATGAGTTATGTGAACAGCTTTTTTAAAATCAATCCATGTTTCATATCTGAGGCAGTTCCGGGTTGTGTCCAGATAACTGAGTAAACCTGGTTCTTGGAACAGGTCCAGATTAGACCCAGGTCTAATCACCACTTTGACTTTGTTCCTGTTCCTGTTATTACAAAGTTCATTTTAAACTTGATCTCAGTAGAGCCCAGCAGATTAGTAGAGATCGTCCTCATACCAAAAAGCTCACAAATCCGGGTCGGGTATGTCACTGTCGATTTCCTCCTCATGCACAGAGGAGCAACAGCTTTGAGCTACGATTTTCCTTTTTGTTGTTGTTCTTCCAAAAGTGCTTCTGCTATAGCAAGCTCTAAGTGTTCCAATGTGAATGGAGAACTTTTGGATCTGAAAACATGAGCGAATGTAATTTTCCACACATACAAGAGGAATTTAGATTCTTCAGATTCATGCTCCTAATAGCACACATATTCAGATTACATTTAAAGCAAACAGCAGAGTTTCTTACTCTCCATCTTTCATATGTCACCATCAGTCATCTTGGCTGAATGTTAGAGGTTTTTCTTTAAGTCTTGTGATTCACACCAGGCAGGTTGCTTATGTTATGGCAACAAAAGAGCTGACCTTCTTCAGGGTAGATGCCACCTCAAAATCTCTGTTCTTATCATGCGCAGACAAAACCAGCATAAATGTTACTTCAAAATTCAGCTGCAGGAATAAAATCTTCACACATCTTAGTTAAACTCCTATCTACCTCGGCTAAAAGCGGGGATGATGTTTTTTTTTCCGGCATTTGTTTGTTTGTTAACAGCATAACTGAAAAAGTAATGAATGGATTTTAATGACTTCTTGGAGAGGTAGGGTATGGCCCGTGAGTCGATTATGGTGATGGTCCGTTGCATAATTTACAGGATTATTCTAAAAGATTATTCACCATTGTGAGTGCTGACTATATGTGAGCCCCCTTGTGGCCAACGTGTGCAGCTGCACACCAGAGGGGAGATGGGTGCAGCTAATAACTGTAGTGTGACTTGTGTGCATCTATGAAGAACTGTACACAGCGTTGTGTCGGCGTGCACGGGACATTTATTTAGACATTTGTGGCTTTTACTATTCGATCATGTCAGTGTACTCTGTAGAGCAAATCTGTTCACGGTGTGGCTTGCTCATGTTACAAAAACTAGCTGGCATGCTGCAAACTGGGAGGTATTCCAGAAAGCAGGTTAAGTTTGTTCAAGGTGTACTTCAACAAAGAATAGTGTACAATTGTTGTCATTCTATCCAAACACTGTTTTCCACTTGTGGGGCTTATAACACTGACGTACAAGACACATTATCCACTGTGTGTTCACCAATGGTGTTACTGGAGCAGTCGACCTGCTCCCGGGTGCTAACGCAACGAAGGCAACGTGAGACCTATACAGCCAACAGCATCAGTAACCAACAAGCAACACACCCCGAGGGACTTTTCTTCACTGCTGATGACTGCAACGCTCACTCCTACCTTTAAGACTGTGCAGGGTTTTCTGTCTTCATCTTTAGTCTACAACTATTATGGTGTTCTTTGCTTGTTTGTTTTGTCTGCATATGGTTTTGCACTTGGTGTTAATGTCCATTCTATATTGTCTATAGATAGATAGATAGATAGATACTTTACTGATCCAGAGGGAGGTTCGGGTAATGTTGTTTGTCATGCATTTGTGTAAAACACTAAACCTGAAGCTAAACCTTGAGGCTAATACTCCGGAATTTTCATTAAAAAACAGAGGATTAACAAAATACCAGACCCAACCAGGTTTCACTGATGGACAGTCCTTTGCAACTATTTGAAAGGACTGTGCGTGCTCTTCTGTAATATCACCAAACTGCCCCGGGATACTGTTACATAGCAGTATTCACACAGAGCAGAAGTAGCCTTGGTAACCTTTGTTTGAGGATTAAAATTCTTCACAAAAAAGGAGGAGGAGAGCAGAAAGAAGAAGAACAACAACAACAACAAAGCTGTGTGAATTTCCTGAGGTGGTCAGGCCAGTTTGTTCACTTTAGAAAATGGGCTCGGTTACCTTAGAGACCCACCTCTCCTTCGGAGCCAGTAGAATCTCTTGTCACGGGGATTTTTAAGTTCATGACAGAAGTAAACACACACTGTTCAGCATTGCAGGCTGGGCTCTTAAAGGAGCGATGGAGACCAAGCAGAACTGATATCATCTTGTAAAGCTACAGTGTTGATCAGAAATGAGGCTTCAGTGTACTCCCAGCTGCTTTTTAGTATAAACAGAAATCCTGTTCCCTGGCCCCTCTGGGACAAGTCATCACTGGAGTCTCACTGGGAGATGGCTGGAATTGTTTTCAAAAACCTCCTTAAATGTAGACGTTGGAATCCAGCTGCAAACAGCTATCAAAAGTGGGGAGAGCAATGTGTGCTCGAGGTAAATCCAAAACATCTTTACCTTTAACCCACATACCAGGATACCTCCCGCACCCTGGCCTCAAGAGCATGCAGACTGTAAAGACACACTATGGGTTTTACTACAGTATATAGTAATCACAATGTTTAGGGACATTGGTAAAAACAAAATGTAATAAATGAGTAAAGCTTTCACCTACAACTGAAGAAAATCTGCATGTTTTACTGGTAACGGATGGGTTTGGTTTCATGGTTACTTTTACACTGAATCACTTTAACCTGAAATGAGTTTCAGGTGCCATTAACACAGTTCCCTTTACACAGAAACCAGAAGCAGCAGCATAGAGTGCGACTTCCTGAACTGTCACACCTAACACAACTATTTTGTGAACGAAGCCTCAAAGCCACTGCTGCTAACCGGTACTCATCATGGGCATTCTACCTGCCTGATCACTGAGGCACGTTTCACTCAGCTGCAGCTTCCAGTTTTGTTTAAATGGTGTTGTTGTATTTGTTTACTTACATGTGATGGTGCAGTTTGCCATTCACAAGGACCTGGCATCAAAAAACGCACCATAGAGCAGTAGGATAATATCTGTAAAGCTGATAACAGCATGGTGTGCTTTTCCTTGTTTTCTGACTTAACAGTGACCTAAAGCTCAAAACATGTGTGCACGACAACACTTACTACTTAAAGTTGAATGATTTGTTTTTTTAAGCTTCAGAAAAACTACACTTCCCATCATCGCTTTGCAGCATGGTGGTACACCTATTATACATCACTGACATATAATAGGTGACTCTCTTGGACTTCGACGGTCTGAGTCGCACAACGTTAACGTGTTTCTGACATTAGTCTCACCTCTCTCAACTTTTTAGGTTGTAAAAAAAACCTAAGAAGATGTGTAATAGTTACAGCCATCTCTCGACCTCAGTTCAATTCGCTGGCAATGTTTCAGCTGCAATGGGCTCAGGCTTCTGAGAAATGCTGTCCATTAAAGCCCGGTAAAACATAGATTACTTTAATGTCAATAATACATCATTTTAAGTAGATAGATACATCAGTATAGTGTAAGCAAATGTAGTGAAACTCACAGCAGGTTAGCCAGATTAAAATCTGAATGGGAATTTGCATGACACTCCCTTTCTTCCGGAACACAACCTGGAAGTTCCTGTTGCACTTTGGCTCGCTATAAAGGCGCTGAAGATTAGAAGCAACTGTGTGTAAGTATCCCAAGCACCTTTTTGTTCCATACTTGTGACTTAGATGAAGACAGGATGCAATAATTCAAAAAACCTGTTCCACATACCTTGTTTTCCATTTTTTGTTGACTTTCTTTAGTTTTTTAACTTCCAGTTGTTGATATAAAAAAGAAAGCAAATTCTGACTGGAGCTGGTAAAAGGCTCTTTCAGAAGACAAAATCCAGCAGCATTTGGTTGGACTTTGGTGCTACTCTTCCACTCTGCTCAAAAAAACGACATCACCTCTTCCTTCCTCTCCCTGACTAAACACACCTGGAAAATTCTGTTGGAGTCTTGGGTCTTTTTTAGTAGGATGAGATCAAGAGAGTCTATATAATAGCTCTTCTCTCCTCACAGGTCTTTACTTCATGTAAATTCCTCCTAGAGCTGATAATAATCCATGCAAATGCATCCTAACTTCCTGTGAAAAGTAAAATGTCATGTGAGTTTGCAGCAAGGAAATCTGTCTGGCCATGGCTACGGTGCAGAATAAACAGTGCCGACAGAAGCTTTTGTTGCTTAGCACCACAGCCTCTCTGCTTGTACTGGGCAAACTCAGAGCAGCCAACCAGACTGACTGAGTGCACATTAATAAAGCACATGATCTATTCAAACACTGAGACACCAGCTCACACTCCTCTTTTCTCTGGAAATTAAACAAACCTAGGCACTTTTATTAGGTTACTGACCATAAAGTGCAACGAGGACATGAAGAAGAAGAGCAGTCCTCTCCAAATTAGTACATACAACCACAGCAGCTCATTTACAGTAAACCATCGCTTCACTACTTATGTCTGAGCCAACAGTCAAACCCTCTTTATACACAGACTTCATCTCTGACATTCAA